GGTGGCTCGGCAGCGGTCAAGCACCCTGGAGACGGAATCAGGCGTTACAGACTGAAAAGAATCGAAAGTCACTGGGTAAGACGGAGCGCTGGACATCTCTGCTCGACTCACTGTTTTTAAAAACGGAGAGAGCTCCCGGCGGATGGCCTCCACTTTAGATTTTAAAAAGGCTGCAAACTGGTCAGGGGAAAAACTAGGGGGAGGCCTATCACCTGAACCAGTTCCAGATAGGTCGCACACTATACGGAATTAAAATTAACACAATTTAAAAACATAGTAATTTAAATTACTACATCACGGTTTAGTATTTTATGTTCCCATTCAAGGGGAGACTGAATGCTTTCATAGTGATATCATACCCTGTTGAATTTACCACGTGTTTATCCAGCTCATAGCATAGATTTGTGCTGTGGGAATGAGGCTACTCAGATATTGTCCCCTCCCTTCCTTGCCCATTGTTGGCCATTACAAGAATTAGCTTCTAATGCATAGTCTATGAGATTTATGAACATGGGTCTCATACCCCCATACCTGCTCTTGGAGTGTTCTGGAGCTCAGCAGTTCATTGGCAGCGACTCACACTACCTCTGCAATATACATGCCATATCTCACTTCAGCTCTCCATGGTTCTGTTCTGCCCACTGCAAAAGCAGCATCTTCTTTTCTGAAGCATTTTCTTGTCAGTCTTCAGTAGGCATGCCCATCTCCAACAGAACCAGTGATAACTTCTCATCCACTACTCCAGTCAAAGAACAAAGGTTTCTTACTTCAACAGATGTCCCCAATTCTGTTATTATGGAGGTCTCACAGGCTACATCTAGGAAAAAAATTCTCTTGAGGCAAAAGTTCACTTGTGACATACTGGCTCAGTATGTCACAAGTGGTTTCCAAAATAGCTTTTTTACCTTGCTGTGGCTGACTGGATAGGGCCTTCTCACACAACAATTACAGGGGGCAACACACTTGTGTTCTTTAAAGTTTCTTGTGTCAAGGTATATTGTAACTCTTTAATTTTCTTGTGTTCCCCTATCCCTGTTTTAAGGGGCCCAAAATAATTTGTAGAACTAAATGTAAAACTAAGCATGCAGCTTTTAGGTAAGTACAATATAAGCATCAAATTACTAGAACTCCCAAATATTTGTGAGGTTTTTTGAAATTCCAAATAATGCAAAGCAGATAATTGAATGCTTTCCATCAATATTGCCAAGGTTAGCAATTCAGAAGATACCTAAAGATGCGCTGTTCC